TCGGTGGCGCACTGGAGGAACAGGTCATAAACTAAAGGCAGGCGAACGTCGTTGTTTTGACGTAGGTAGAACCCAGGTCTTGATGTCGAAAGCCTGCACACAATGTCACGATTCTGTGACATTGTGAAGGAGGGAGTTGGTGGGAATCCACACTCAGAATTAACTTGGAGATCATGACGGGGAGGGGGGGGGGGTCAGCGGACTGCCCCGGGATCATGGTCATTTGGGCATCTGAGGTCAAGCAATACCATCACACCTCTAAACAGGAGATCGAGGATTACCAATGGAGCAGAAACTGGAGAAAAAATGAAAACACTTAAAACAAAGAACAGGAACAAACATGGAAAAGTACATGTTAACAAGTCGCTTGGCACTCCCAACCATGATTTGACCAAAGTATATATATATATATATATATATATATATGTGTGTGTGTGTGTGTGTGTGTGTGTGTGTGTGTGTGTGTGTGTGTGTGTGTGTGTGTGTGTGTGTGTGATTGAGGTAAATAGGTGATTGAGGGCTGGTAAAAATGATTTTAAAAACTATTTGATATGAAAAGAAGTTGAACAAAAAGAAAGAGGGATGACCGGAAATGACACTCAGGAAGGGCATCCTGAACTTCACTGCTATTTACATCTTAATATATGCTTTATTGAAGTCGATGCATTAAAGTACAGTACAGTTTCCACTGTGCTCCAAATCCAAAACTAAGTGTATATTATAAATACTTCTAATAGATGATAGATGATAGCATCTTACGGCGATGTTTCAAGTAAATGTGGACTATTCTTACCTGTTCTTAAAACTTTAATTGTTATTATAGATGACAACGAAAGATAAGATAAAGTCTTATGATGAATGTTTTGCTTAGATTTATGGTAAGTAGTAGTTCAATATAACAAAGTAATACGATAATAGCGCGAGTATCAACCGTTTACTTTGATTTTCGTAAATATCCTTAAATAATAACGAAATGAAGTAAGATATGCTTTTCTAATGGATATTTGCGAAGAATAAATATAATTGATAATAACAGAAGGAAAATATTCATAAATACTAATGGAGACAAGATAAAAAAAACAGTTTGTTAATGTTTAAACATACGTACAGAAGGGAAAGCATATCTATCAATCTAGGAGTCTATATTGTAGCCGCTGTTATCAACATCGGCATGGCGTACCCGCTGGCATCAGCATCACGTGTATAACATCTGTAGCCACTGCCATCAGCATCGGCATGGCGTAGCTGCTGGCTTCAGCATCACGCGTACATCATCCCCTCTAGGACTTGGTTGACGGTTTCTTCATGGGTTGAGATAAGGATAATGCCATGGCCGTGTTCCTCCATGTGTTTGTATGTGCTGAATTAGGCCTTGTCCCTAGTGTTGACGTATAAATGAAGGAAGGGCGTCTCACGAAAGGGGGGCCATCACAGGTTATAGAACAGTTTGAGAGTGAATACTGGCTCGACAACACGTACATAAGGACCGATCTGTGGACTTCTGTTAAAGGCCTTGACTGTTCCCGCTATGCGTATGTATCATACACATTCATGTATAGATATACATTAGTGTCAGTGTATGTTGTTGCTTACCTAAAGCAGTAGGGTATAATGACATTCTCAGCAAACAGTAAAATGTATGTATGTATTATAACTACTGATATGATCTTGTTAGCGAATCTAAGTCGAATTGTAACAGCAATTATGATTATTATTGCATGATTGATATTGTATTGATTATGTATTGATTACAGGTTTGACCGCATTCAAATAAATTGAGAAGCGAGTACGACGCAGTGGTATCAGTCACCTCGAGTTAACGCAAATAATCTAAGCGCGTGAAATGGCGCTTACAGTCAAACGCAGAGGGAGATCGTTGCTGTTACTTTGCCGTGACGATAAAGAGACGGACGGAAGGAGCGAACTGCGGTAAGTCTACGGAAGTGCACGGTGTTTGACGGGCGATTATTATGTGACGGAAACATCATAGCTGTGTACGAGTGTACGGATCGAACATATGATCAAGCTAATTTGTGATTAGTTTTTTGGTGAAAAGTAACAAAGTTTTGAGGGACGCAGAGGGAGATCATTGCTGTTACGTTGCCGTGACGATAAAGAGACGGGCGGAAGGAGCGAACTGCGCTAAGTCTACGGAAGTGACACGGTGTTTGACGGGCGATTATTGTGAGGCAATAACATTATGGCTGTGAACGAGTGCACGGATCGAACATATGACCAAGCCTATTTATGATTAGTTTTCGGAGAAAAGTAACAAGGATTTGAGGATGGCTATTTATGATCAGCGAATCCGGGAAGCTGTTTCTGCACGCTAAGGGAGTGAAATGCTTGAATTTGATGCAATATGTCATGGAGGAAGTTTCTTGTTAGTGACATTAGCGACCATGGCCCTCGTGCACGCAAGTGCTCGTGTTTAGGAGAAAGGTGAAATAGGTAAACTGAATATATGAGCGAAAAATAACCTATAAGTCGGAGCTGAATCAAAGAAACGGAGTAGTTGGAAAGAAGCAACACTGGCTTCCCGCCCATTACATGTTATTATTTGGATTTTAAAGGTGATGCAAAAGGTAACTAACTCTGGAGGACATAGCAAGCCTCAAGAATTAATCGGTAATACTTCTCACAGAGACCTTTTGATGAAAACATAAAACTGAAGATGCTAAAATGAAAGAATGTGAAATAATGTGGAAAGAGGAAACGGAGGTATTAGAGTATGAGAGAGAGGCAGTTAATCAAAAATGAAAGGGATGTAGCTCACGCTAGGCTTGGGATGGCAAAGAAAATTAGAAGGGGATTAGGTCCCAAAAGTAGTGAGTTCTTACGATCAAGAGATATCTCAAGTTCCGAGGTTTGAAGGGTTTAGTAATCCTTATGATTCCAGGCGATACGGCTTACGTGAGAACGGAACATATGATGAAAACAAATACCAAGGCCGGAGTATAAATGCCTGTAAATATGGAGACCTTCCAGATATGCCCAATTTGAATTTCATAGCAAAAATGGACTCGTTCGTCAAAGAGATGCAAAAACCCAATATGGATATTGGGCCATTTGATGGTAACTCTCTTGACTTCAATAGATTTATGAGACGGTTTCGAACAAAGGTGCTAAACTACTGCACTTCCTATGATGAACTTTTAAGCTACTTAGAACCATTTACCACAGGGGAAGCAAGAGAAAGAATACAAGAATTTACGAGCATGAATCCAGAAAGGGGGTATGAGGCAGCCTTGAAAGAACTTGAGGATTGTTATGGGAATGATGACGTTATGGCCCGGGCTTAGATCAAGAAGGCTCTGGATTGGCCAGTAATCAAGGGAAATGATGTTGGAGCTCTTGACAAATTTTCCATGTTTCTCGCAGGATGTGAGTGTGATATATTAAGTATGGATTCAGTTAAAACTTTAGGAAGCCCAGATAACATGAGAAAACTTGTTATGAAATTGCCATACAACATGCAAGAAAGGTGGTGTGCAATTGTCTGTGAGAAAGGTGATGCCTCTAAGCCTATAGTATTTTCAGACTTGGCAGAATTCGTTTCAGGGGAAGCCAAGAAAGCCAGGCATCCCATCTATAGAGCAACTAAACGAGGGTAAAACTAATAACGCTATGATGAGACAAGCATTTGCTACGCAAGTCCAAGAAAGGGAATTTGAGAGAAGTAGTGATGAAGACTACGAAAATGGGTGTCATCAATGTAAGGGAAATCATAGGCTACTTAACTGTAAAAGGTTTAAGGAATTTGAATATGAAAGGAAAGTTGAGCTAATAAGGGAAAAGAAATTGTGCTTCTCATGCTTGAGAACTGGTCGTGGTAACGCTCAATGTTTCAAGAAGGAAATTTGCCTTGGGTGCAGTGAAGAACAACCCACAATAATGCATGTGGAGAGAATGTTTGATGAGGTTAACAAATACACCACTACAGGAGGAAATTGGGAATCTAAGGGCTGAATTCGAGAAATTAAAAATTGAAAAGATGACATTACAAAGGAAGTCTGAGCAACAAGAAGTTCAAAATCCCAAAGAGGTGGTAAACATGAATGCAGAAGCTTGCCATACATTGTCAGAGGGAACAGACAAAATGGCCGCCTTAGCAATCACATCAGGGAAAGTAAAATGGAAGAATAGTCACAAAACCACACAGACACTGGCATTCTTAGATCCGGGTTCAACTACAACTATTTGTCCAGAGAAACTAATGAATGAGCTGGAGTGTAAGGGAAAGGGAATCACATGCAACTTGGAGACCCTTAATGGGAAAAGGAAGGTGAGCTCTACGGTACTGAAGGATCTACAAATTGGTGCCTTGGCAGGAAGCGATTCGGTAGACTTATAAAATGTTCATTCTCAGTACAATATAAATATTTGCAGAGGGTTTATGTCTTCAAGGGAAGGCTTAAAAAAGAGGCCACATTTAAAGGACATAGAGATTCCACAATCCGATGGAGAAGTGAATCCGTTGATCGGAAACAATAACCTAGAAGCATATAGACCATTCGAAATTGTATCAGGAGAGGAATACTGCCCAATTGCTGCCTAAACAAGAATAGGTTGGGTAATATGGGGTCTACTGAAGTGACAGGGAGCGGATCTTGTAACATCTTACAAAACTGGTACGGCAGAACTTAGTAAGAATGAAGAACGAAAAGGGCTCGACCATTTGGTGAGAGAACTAATCAACATGGAGTTCCCAGAACTGATAATAGATGATAAAGGGGAAAATTCACTAAAGGATAAGTTGTTTTTAAGTAAAGTTCAAGATTCAATGAAACTTGTGGATGGCAACTACGAGATGGAGTTACCATTCTATGACGAAGAGGTGAAGATTCCAAATAATCAGAATTATGCAAAATTAAGACTGCAGCATCTTGAAAACAGGTTCAGCAAAATCCAAGGATTTGCTTAAGAATATGCAGCTTTTATGGCAAAATTAAATGACAATGGATACGTTGAACAAGGGCCTGAATCAGAGATAAGCAGAGATGACGGAAAGGTATGGTATATTCCTCACCATGGAGTATACCACCCAAGAACAGCGAAGTTGAGAGGTCTTTGATTGCTCAGCTAAGTACTTAGATGACTCATTGAATGATCATTTACTTCACGGTCCAAATCTAGCTACCAAGCTTCAAAACATGTTACTCAGATTTAGAAAGGAACCTGTAGCCATCATGGGTGACATTGAGTGTGTTGAAGTTCCTGAGAAGCATAAGGATTTCTTACGTTTCTGTTGGTGGCCAAAGGGTGACTCGAACATAGAACCTAAAGTGTTTAGAATGACTGTACATTGGTTCGGTGCAATATCTAGCCCAGCCTGTGCTAATATGGCTTTGAGACAAGTCGTAATAGACAGTCAGGGGCTTTGTGATGATGAGGTAATGAAATGTATTAGTGAATACTTCTATGTTGATGATTGCTTGAAATCTGTACCAACGTCAAAAGGAGCTATTGATATGATCATGGATTTAAAAGATTTATGCAAAAGGGGAAAATTTAATCTAAGAGACTGCATCAGTAACAGCAAGGATGTACTGGAATCAATTCCAGTAGAAGATCGCATACATCAAATGGACACATTAGGTCTAGATATACAGACAGGGTTCCACGTGATGGAATTTGGAGGAGCCTCAGACTGAAAGGAGAGCCAGAGTATATTGTTATGTGCATACTGTTATGAGTATATTGTTAGAGGGTTGGAGAGAAAAGTTAGAGGATAGAGGACGCAGGATCAGCAGACTGAAGACGGAATGCATGAAATGCCACTTCGGAGAGGAGGATGAGCAGGAGGTGGATTTGGAAATAGACCTAGAGGTACTCAGAGAGACTGATATCTTCACGTACTTAGGGTCTATGGTGCAACATGATGGAGGGGTGGAAGCAGAGATTACAAATAAGATACAAAGTGGATGGAGGAATTGGAGGTAGTGTGTTGGAGTAATGACGGATAAGAGAATGAGCCTGAGGCTAAAGAGAAGGATCTACACTAGTGTAATAAGACCCGCACTCACCTAGGGAGCAGAGACCTGGGCAACCACCAAGAGAGAAGAGGAGCGCCTGGATGTGAACGAAATGAGAATGCTGGGATGGACTCGCGGGGTGACAATAAGGGACAGAGTGTCTAACCGCCACTTTAGAGAATCTCTACACGTCACTGAGGTGGCCAGGAAGTGAAAGAGAGATTAGTTTTGGTTTGGACATATCGAGCAAAGAGAGGAGGAGCACTGCCTGAAGTGTGTGTCAGCAGGAAGAGGGGTCCCCGGAAGAAGAGTGGTGGGAGGACCAAGGATGAGATGGAAGGATTGTGTGAGCTGGGATATGAGGGAAGCAGGATTGAACAGAGAGATGGTCCAGGATAGAAACAACTAAAGGCGTCAATTGAGGGACTATTTCAGCGACCCCGTATAGTCGGGAAAAGCTTGTAGAAGAACATCTAGATATGCAGAATTTGCCCACAGAGGGGGCTCTTGGACTCGTGTGGTCGGTCACCACAGATAGTTTCGAGTTCAAAATAAATATAAGAGATAGAGAGGAAAATGGAAGAGGAACGCTGTCAGTGGTTGGTTCCTAGTGCGACCCCTTGTACAGAAGGGGACTGATGTGGGATGGGCCCATGCCTGATAGGGAATCAAAGGAGTATGGGAAATGGATAAAACCATAGATTCCCTGGAGAATACTAAGGTTCCCGGATGCTCAAGGAAAGTGCAAGCTGAAGGTGCTTATGTACAATTACATTGTTCGCTGATGCAAGCTATAGTGGGTATGGCGTTGCTATATATGTAAGACTCCAATACTCTGATCAGAGCATCGATTGTGCTCATGTGGTAAGGAAAATGGCGGGTCCTCATGTGGTGAGGAAATCGGGTCCTCATGTATTGAGGAAAATAACGGGTCCTCATGTGATGAGGAAAATAACGGGTCCTCATGCATTGAGGAAAATAACGGGTCCTCATGTGATGAGGAAAATAACGGGTCCTCATGCATTGAGGAAAATAACGGGTCCTCATGTGATGAGGAAAATAACGGGTCCTCATGCATTGAGGAAAATAACGGGTCCTCATGTGATGAGGAAAATAACGGGTCCTCATGCATTGAGGAAAATAACGGGTCCTCATGTGATGAGGAAAATAACAAGTCCTCAGGTAGTGAGGAAAGTAACGGGTCCTCGTGTGATGAGGAAAATAACGGGTCCTCATGCATTGAGGAAAATAACGGGTCCTCATGCATTGAGGAAAATAACGGGTCCTCATGCATTGAGGAAAATAACGGGTCCTCATGTGATGAGGAAAATAACGGGTCCTCAGGTAGTGAGGAAAATAACGGGTCCTCAGGTAGTGAGGAAAATAACGGGTCCTCATGTGATGAGGAAAATAACTGGTCCTCATGGGATGAGGAAATTAACAGGTCTTCATGTGGTGGGGAAAATAACGGGTCCTCATGTGATGAGGAAAATAATGGGTCTAATTAATGATCACAAAGTTTCTGCTAATATTTGAGCACTCCAGAGAAATCTGTGTTCATGCATGTCCTGCCCGTGCTCGTAATAGAGTCTCTGTTCCGTTTTTCTGCCGTATCCTTGCTGTTGCAGATCCCGAGAACATGATGCGATGCAGAGTTCCTGCCAGATTACTTGCCTGATGACTTCCCTGTGTGATGGGATGACGTCATGGAAAGATGTGTCCTGACTTGTCATCATAACTGATGTCTACGCCACTGCCCGGAAATCACTGCCTCCTTGGCTGACATTCATCGGTAGCAAAGGATCCTGTCTTAATAGTTGACATTCTGGTGCATAGTGATTTGTTTGATGACTGATACGTGAGGGTGCTTAATGAGTGGAGCCATGTTGCATCAGCATCCTAGTGAAACCTTTGGAAAAACTGTAGATGAAAACTTCGACGAGAACCTTCAGATTCAGCGAGAACACATACACATTTGCAGTACAGAAACGATCGTTACCAAGTGCAAGGCATAATGTTTTTAGTCGCTGTCTTTGCATGAGTGATTGCTTGTATTCTGATCCTGGTATATATATGGTAGAACCTACAACGCCATAACACACATTGTATTGCTGAGTCCTGGAGAGGTTTTTTAATCTCGGCGGCCAAAAGTTCTGGGAGGAGTTCAATTTTTGTATACAAGAGGTTGCATTCTCTCCCTGTGACTGGGGCGTGGAGTTTTTTCCCTTGTCCGGCAGCAATACAGATGAGGATCATTATAACTGATCGTTAATTCGTGGGAGATCTGATGTTAGGTTTGCCCCTGTTGTTACTGATATAGAAACCATGAAGACAAGGCAAAGGGATATGAGAAAATATAGGATTCAAGCTGTGCTGTGCATCTGTGGTAACAATTCTCTGTCTAACTCATTTCGGAAGTGATGTATATGAGGAATATAGAAGAGCCTCTCGGGGGTGGCGGTCTATGCCAAAACCTGGACTATACCCAGCGCCGGGCAAGAGTTTTGTGTTGTTTGAGACACTCCGTGCTCAATCAATGGGGGGAGTGTAGCCGCTGTTATCAACATCGGCATGGCGTACCCGCTGGCATCAGCATCACGTGTATAACATCTGTAGCCACTGCCATCAGCATCGGCATGGCGTAGCTGCTGGCTTCAGCATCACGCGTACATCATCCCCTCTAGGACTTGGTTGACGGTTTCTTCATGGGTTGCGATAAGGATAATGCCATGGCCGTGTTCCTCCATGTGTTTGTATGTGCTGAATTAGGCCTTGTCCCTAGTGTTGACGTATAAATGAAGGAAGGGCGTCTCACGAAAGGGGGGCCATCACAGGTTATAGAACAGTTTGAGAGTGAATACTGGCTCGACAACACGTACATAAGGACCGATCTGTGGACTTCTGTTAAAGGCCTTGACTGTTCCCGCTATGCGTATGTATCATACACATTCATGTATAGATATACATTAGTGTCAGTGTATGTTGTTGCTTACCTAAAGCAGTAGGGTATAATGACATTCTCAGCAAACAGTAAAATGTATGTATGTATTATAACTACTGATATGATCTTGTTAGTGAATCTAAGTCGAATTGTAACAGCAATTATGATTATTATTGCATGATTGATATTGTATTGATTATGTATTGATTACAGGTTTGACCGCATTCAAATAAATTGAGAAGCGAGTACGACGCAGTGGTATCAGTCACCTCGAGTTAACGCAAATAATCTAAGCGCGTGAAATGGCGCTTACATATATATATATATATATATATATATATATATATATATATATATATATATATATATATATATATATCAGTACACACCTATATATGTATCTGTATATGTATGTATGTATAGTGTATATGTACACACACACTCACACACACACAAGGAAAGTACAATTACAAGTAAATATAGAAGCCTTAAAGATTTCTTTGATGGCGAGAAAGATGCCAAGAAGTTCAATTTTCCTACCAGAACTATTGAAACACGGAACAATCTTCCAAATAACGTTGTGTGTGCCAAAAATGTGCATTATTTTAAAAAGTTATATAATGATTTAAATATAGCAGACAAGACCATCTGAACTTAGCCCTCGTCCCGTATTGAAACAACTAGGTAAGAACACACACACACACACACGTACACCTCTCTCTCTCTCTATCGATCTATCTATCTATCTCTATCTATCTATCTCTATCTCTATCTCTATCTCTATCTATCTATATATCTATCTATCTACCTATCTATCTATCTATCTATCTACCTATCTATCTACCTATCTATCTATCTATCTACATATCCCTATATCTATCTATCTATCTATCTATCTATCTATCTATATATATATATATATATATATATATATATATATATATATATATATATATATATATATGTGTGTGTGTGTGTATCTTCCGAGCTCGTACAGTGGTACGTGTCGGCGGTTCGCGCTCCGCCCAGGTGCGAAAAGTTGCAGTTGTCGCCTGGAGGTCTCTACTGCTGCTGACTCAGCCGAGTCAGCAGCAGCTGACACACGAGTCGGCATTAGTTGACACAGGCCGGACTCCCCGCATGAGCATAGCCTGGGCGAGGTTGTCTCTCTCTCTCTCTCTCTCTCTCTCTCTCTCTCTCTCTCTCTCTCTCTCTCTCTCTCTCTCTCTCTCTCTCTCCCTCTCTCTCTCTCATATATATATATATATATATATATATATATATATATATATATATATATATATGTGTGTGTGTGTGTGTGTGTGTGTGTGTGTGTGTGTGTGTGTGTGTGTATGTGTGTGTGTGTGTGTGTGTGTGTGTGTGTGTGTGTGTGTCTGCAATAGATATCTATCTATCTATCTATCTATCTATCTATCTATATATATATATATATATATATATATGTATATATGTATATATATGTATATATGTATATATATATATATATATGTATATATATATATATATATATATATATATATATATATATATATATATATATATATATATATATATATCGATTTTCTGTGCATATTTACATCCATATGTATTTATAATCTCTGGGTTCTTTCGCTATTTTAACATGATCACCTTGTTTTTTTATGTTAGTTTTAAAAATACTGAATCAACGAAATAAATAGTAAAGGAATAGACAAATACAGAAAAAAAATGTCTGTGCATGTGACTTACACGAACGCCAGGGTGGATCAGCAGCTCACTCATCGTAAACACAGCAGACAGTAAAGCCCTTCTACCCTACATTTAATACTTTTAGGCAAGTGTGAGGCTTTTTCGTCTGTTAAGTTTTATTGTCTGGTTGATTTGAGACTTGGGTTGGGGTTTAGGAGTCTGTAAAGGGGATTTTTTTAGGTGGTATTTCAGGTTTGATGAAGAGAGGTTTTGACATTCAACCGGAAAACTGGAAATGGTGTTTCGGCTTTTTTTTTTCTTCTTCTCGTCTAATCTTTTCGTCTTTTGGAATCTTTTTTTAGGAGGAAGAAGCAGCTGTAACTCATGCTATGAACCTCTCTTACTGGCCTATAGCACTAAGGTTTAAAGCAAAAGGCATAATTTAGTCTGAATTTCCTCTCTGAGAAGGACCTGGCGAGGGAGATTTCAGAGGCTGTTGGTTGGAGGTTTTTTGTTCCTATGGCGATCTCCGTGGTATTTTGTGCAGTTCTTTTGGGGTTTATTGAGGTGTTTGTTTTAGCTGGGAGTCTGTTGTAAACTTTTTTTTTTTACTTTGGTTGTAATTTAGTAGAGAAGTTACATCTTACTAGAATTATGCTAAGTATAGTTTCTTTGCCTTTGCCAGAGCAGCTAAATGTGCAAGCAATGGGATGGTTTAAGTTTGTAGAACTTCATATTGATTGATCCATCGCACAAGGCTGTGGAGTCGGTACTCAAAACCTCCGACTTCTTGATTTCTTGTGTATCCAATTCCAAATCCGACCCCAATTTCTTGATTTCTTGGGCATCTGACTCTCTCTCCCACTCTGATCCCTAAGTTTAATAATCTAAGAAATGCATTTTTATAAAATTGCAGGCTATTTTTTACCTCTTAAAAGTTTGAGTCAAATGGTTATAGCTATGCTGTTGTTGCCTTTTTAT